CTTTTCCGCCGCCGCCAAAGCGCTTCCGGGTGGCGGCGGCGACGCGCGGTGACGTAATCGGCGCGCGCCGGCGGGCTGTACCGCTGCGGCAGGGGCGGGGCGGGGAAGGCTTCTCGTCCCAAGAGAGGCAGGGCAATAAAGGAGAATAAAGCCAAACTGCTCTTCCTCGAGTGTCGGCGGGGAAAAACGTCCTGCTTGGCGCTAAACAGCGATTTTAAAGGCTCTCGCGAAGGAAAACAGTCTCAGCTCCAGGTCGCTGGGCGCCCACCCCAGCAGGGGGTGTCCTCTTCCAGCGGCCGCTCGGGGGCCATTCCCTGGATTCCCCAGAGCTGGGGTCGCAGTGCTCCCGTCCCTCTGGCGTCCCCGCGGGCGGCCAGCGAGGGACACAACACAGCTTCTTGCCAGCGTCGGCTCCCACAGACAGCCCACATCCACGAGGAAGAGCTTCCTCCCATGAGGGAGCAGCAGCCCGGGGACGTGTCCCTCTCTGGCCGCATTCCTGTGGCACCTGCCCCCTCAGTGTCCCACGGTGCTGGCTGGGGAAAGCAGAGCAAAGCCAGGCCCCACAGCGTTCTCCCACGGCTGTGCCCAGAAAGCTGCCCAGAAAACATCTGAGGGGAACAGGGAGAAAGGGCGACAGTTCTAGCACGGAATCCCAGGAGGGTTTGGTTGGGAAGGCACCTTAAGGCACATCTTGCTCCATCCTAGGACATCCCAGGGACACCTTCCATTGTCCCAGGCTGCTCCAAGCCCCGTCCAGCCGGGCCTTGGACAGTTCCAGGGATCCAGGAGCAGCCACAGCTTCTCTGGGGAATTTTTCAGGGGCCTCCACACCCTCACAGGGAAGAAACAAAGCTGCAGCCGGGAAAAAGCCCCCAAACCAAGCCCAAGCAGCGCCAACCCCAATGCCCCGCTTTAGAAGACAATCACACACGTTAAAAACACATTTCAATGTCTCATGGCAACATTCCTCGATGAGAATATTCTTTTAATCGGGAAGCGAGGGAGGAACCTTTGTGACTTTGAACACAAGTTTCTGCTTGACAAGTAAAAAAGTGTCAGGGCTTTGCAGGACCCTGTCCATAACACAGAGGGAGTGTGCTCTCATCCCAAACGTGCAAACCCCCACAACACCCGCCGGGGCTTTGTCCCCTGCACCCCGGGAACAACGCTGAGCTCAGGTGCCTGAAGCTGCAGAACAAACCCCACACCTGAAGGATGAAAGCCTGGCTAACAAGCAGAGTGGGAACAGTTAGGTGATCCGCACGGAACAGCGCTTCCAGCCGCCGGCTCGGTTCCGCCTGGAGCTTGGACACGCAACACGCCAGGGATGGGGCACACCCGGCCCACGGCACATCTGTCCTGCTCCCGGGGCTGTGCAGGAGCCCAGTGTTCCCAGGAGGCCGTCCACGCTCCCAGGGCAGCCTGTAAACGCCACCCGCGTCGCTCCCGTAGGGAATGGGGCCGGCTTGTGGTCGCCCATCTGGTGGTTACGATCCTCGGTGGCTGCCAGTGTGGGTGCAGAGGGCAGGGTTGAGAAAAGCAGGATCTGGAGCAGTTTTAAAATGGAGTTTGAAAGTTGTAACGTAGCCGGTGAGAAAAAAGTCTCCTCCTCTGGCTGACAGTGCAGATTCCCTTCCACTTCTGTCCCACCAAAAGTGACGCTGGACACGACCGTGTCTCCACTGGGGACAAGTTGGTGTTAGGTCAGCTCTAATGGTTTATTCTCCAAGCTCACAGGGTAAAGAAAATCTACTAAGAAGTCCTGATGAGCGGGGACCTCTCTTCTTCCGTGCTCTGGAAGAACAAAACCACGGCAAGTTAAAGGTGGCCACCAGAGACCTTGCACTGCAGGAAGCTGGGCTGCCCAGACTGCAAGCAGGGAAAGGAAAAGCTCCTA